TAACTCTCAGTACAGACTGTAGCAGTGTGGAGCCCAATTCATCTCACTGGGGATCAGCCTGTTTGAGCCCTGCAGCCTGCACAGCATGAGGTAGGTCTATGGCTCAATGTTGCCTTTTTACAGAAATACAAAATTGAATTTTTCGAGAAGTGGGCAAAAGTCAGCTGCTAAGGAAAGCTAATAAAAATCATCCCTGGAATCTAATGGATAAAATCTTGGTTTCATTGACGGTAGCACATGCTCTGGAGAAAGGGCTTTATCTGACTGTTCTGAATGAGTGTGCACAGGGGTTCGGTTGTGCATTTCCTGCTCTACAGAAAAGCCCTCTGTACCAGCTATGCACTGAGTTGCTTGGATCAGTGCTTTTAAGCAGATCTAACAGTCCAGAATAACTTTACCTAAATTTACTGTAGCCTCATGAAAGGATTATTGATGCTATTCTATTACTTCGCACAAAGCAGCCATCCCAAGAGGACCGTTTAGTACCACACTTCTTGTCTTGATATTAAATCAGACTATGCTGAGGACTCAAAAGCAGCAGGTAACCAGCTTTCCCTGCTTTTCTTTGAGCTCTGCAGAAGCACATTTCTTATTTGTTTGGAACTGCAAGTCTCTTGCACTTATCTCCAAAAGAGCCCCAAGCCCCAAAGTACACAGTATTCTTAACACGTACAGGAGTGGTTTTGGCTATGTTTAAATTGAGAGGCTCACTGGATGACAACCAGGTCCTTGCCAGGGCAAGCTCTGAGAGGCAGAACATTTGCCTTTTGGTGCCATAAATAGATGCTACCTGGGAGCAACACTGGTTTATTTTCCTTTAGTCAGAAAGAGACATACTGAAACAACACAGTACAGCCCAGGGAAAACTGAAGCTGCATCAAGAGGGAGCCAAGTTCAAAGGACTCAATAAGGTAAAGCAGTAAGACAGTCACTTTCTGAACCTCTGTGCAATGTGAAGTGCCGTGTTTCTGTGCTGACAAGTGCAAAGCTTACTGCTTTACCTGATCTGGGTGGACTGCCATTCTTTCCCCTCCACACTCAGGCATCTCATGGATTAACTCAACCCTCCACAACTCTCCAGCATATCACATATATTACGTACAACACAGAAAATTCTCCTTGATCGTACTAAGAAATATAATCTGTCTCTGAATATTGTTCAGATTTAAAAGCCT